GGGGAGGGGGAGGGGGAGGGGGGGAGTTAAAAATCTGTCCATTAATCTTGGCGACATTTCTACGAATGGTCAGACGGAGAAATGGGCATAATACCGCCTCGGGATTGTAAAAAGGACGCATTCTCTATTTAAAATCACACCGCGGGTTCGTCACGGGGTATAACCATTCAGAGGATAATCCCCTAATCGTGTGTGTCAGCACGAATGAAAGACTCGTGGAGAATTTTGAAAGGTGGAGTGAATAAATAAATGAGGAAATGAAGGAATTTCGGATTATACTTTTGATTTTTCGGAGAAGCCAAATGCTCATCGGGAATTTGGAGAAAAATCGCCGATCGACTGGCGCCGGTTTTCCATAAATCGCCGATATTTTCAAATTGTTGCAAAATCTTTCGATTTTTTGCGATTAAAAAATTATCTACTATTTTTGGTGCATTTGGGAATTCTATTGATTGATTATTTGATGATAAAATTTGAAAATTTGAAATAAAAAATAATAAATAAAAAAAATAAAAAAAATATTAAATAAAAAATAAATAAAAAATAAATCGGAATAACTCCGATTTTCTGGTTTATCTCTCGGCGAAAATGTGCGGAAAAAAGTGGCGCTCGCAGCTAAATAACAAAATAAATGTCAACAGACTCTCGAGAAAAGAGAGAAAAAAAAATCTGTCGATATCAAACTGGAGTGGACGATTGCAATGACACACACACATGAAATAAAATTCACACAAATAGAATGTCCCAGATCCGTGTTTATCGCTTGTTATAAACGTTCCCCAGGGGCACCAGCGAAAAATCATCTGTTGGCGAATAAAACCGTTGCGATCATCCGAGGGTATGAGGGGGCTTAGGGGGAGGATAAAGGGGGAGGCAGAGGAGAGGGATGTCAATTTTTCGTATTATTTCAATCGTCAGTTTGGCGCGACGGTTTGATGGCGCCTAAACTCAACCCGATGAATGACTAAAACGTCTGGTATACGAGAGCTATAGACTAAATAAAAAAATATCAATGATGATTTCAACGGTTTTAAATCACTTTAATTCTATCTATTTTTTTTTTCTGCCTGTGAATGGCTTTTCATGGGTTTTAGAACGATGAATAGACGCGTCTGGACCCCAACGCGTCAGATATTTTTGGGTCCAGAACGAATTTAGTCTATGGCAGGCAAAAAAAAATCGCCATTTTTTTTTTCGACCACTGATTGCTCGGGAGATATTTGATAAAACGGGGTCCGAGTCGTGGGGGGTTGCCTCGCAGGATTTTTTCAAATCTATTATTTTTATTTCACTAATGAAAACTTCAGTGAAAACGCAATTTTTTATCAATTGTATGAATTATCTATTCAAAAATTGATATTGATATGTTTAAAAAATTTTTCTGTTGATTAAACATTTTGAATTGATGAATTTTTTCT